CGGGGAGCCGGGAGCCCGGGAGCCGGAGCCATGGGCTGCGACGGGCGCGTGTCGGGAATGCTCCGTCGCCACCTGCAGCCCACGCTCACCTACTGGAGCGTCTTCTTCAGCTTCGGCCTGTGCATCGCCTTCCTGGGGCCCACGCTGCTGGACCTGCGCTGCCAGACGCACAGCTCGCTCGCGCGGGTCTCCTGGGTCTTCTTCTCGCAGCAGCTCTGCCTGCTGCTGGGCAGCATCTTCGGGGGCGTCTTCAAGAGGACGTGAGTGCCGGCCAGCGCCCCGCCCCGCCCCGCAGCCCCCCGCAGCCCCTGCGCCCACCTTGCCCAGCGCTGCCCGCTTCGCGCCCGCTCCAGCGGAAGGGCGGCCTCCCCACCCAGCTAGCTCTGTAGAGAAACGCTCCCGGGAGATTAAGCTGACTTCTGGGTTGTTTTATAAGGGTGGGGACTAACGAGGGGGAAGGCGTGTGACACTGTCCACTACAGATCCGTGAGGACGCACGTAGAAGCCCGTGCTTATTTCCATGATGGGGCAATCTGACACTGCCCTCCACTCACCTCCGAGAAAGGGGAGAACCCTCCTTCCGGAGTGGGGGGGCGGCGGGGGGCTTCTCCCACCTCGGGGAGAAGGGGGGAGTGATGGAACTGGCAAGAAGCGCTGAGTGCTTGGGGCTGCTAGTGGTCCCAGCTGCCAGGGCGGATCTGGGAGTGCAGTGGAAGGCCGGCGGTGGCAGTGACAGCCCCAGGACAGCGCTGGGTGCCAGAGCAGGCTTGCTGCTCCACAGAGCTTGCTGAGCCGGGCTCACCTGGGCAGTCAGCTGCAGGTCAGCGGATTCGGGCTTTCCCTTCCCCAGTGGCCACAAGGTTGGTGAACCCTGGGTGGTACAGGCTTAGCCGGGGCAGCTTTCTTGCATGGACCCCTGCCTGAAGACAGTCTTTCATCCTCTGAGACCGGCAGAATGTCCTGCAAGAGCCAGGTGGCAGGGGTGCAGGTGTCTTGCCCAGGTCTTGGTAAGGTGGCCCTCCATGCATGTGCCAGGTACCCCAACTGCTCCCTGCTGATGGTACTTCTCTCTGGCCTCTGCCCTGGCAGGGTACTGGGCTTCCCCTGGCACTGCCCCAGGATGCCCCTTTGTGTGCCTTTCTAGGCCCTCATTCTCTTGGCCCACATTGGACAGCGCAGCCCCTGGGAAGGCATTTTTGAAGGAAAGCTTCCATCTCTCCTCCTCCACAGCCTTTTTGGGAAGGCAGTCGGATTCACTCCCAGTGCAGATGGGAGAACAGAGACCCAGAGTGGGGGAGTTGATGAGGTGCAGCCAGAGGCTGATGCTCTGAATTCTCTAGTCCCCAGCTCCTGGCAAAGTGACTTTCAGAGTCACATGGATTTAGGCAGGTCTTAGGAAGAGAGACCACCATAGGGCCATCCCAGGGGACCTCTAAAGGGGCAGTCCTGGGCCGAGCCACAGGCTAGCTTTGGGGCTGACATTTCCTGTCTCCTTCCTGGAGGGCTCTGCCAAGGCCACTCAGACTCATAGTGTCCTGAGAGGACAGAGTAGGACTGCCCGGAAGTTCTCCAGAGGCGCATCTTTCCTCTTTCAGCATGGTTGGTGGGTTGAACCACTGACCTTGGGCTAGCAGCAGGGGGCGGGGCATGTAGCCTCTACACCATCAAGGCCCCTTCAGCGGTCTCCATGAGCATGGTTCCTCCTTCACTCTCTCCAAGTCCCTGCTGATGGGAGAGCAGTGTCGGGTTCATGTAGAACCCCACATCAAGCCACTCAAATTTGCAAAAACAATGCTCTGTAGGAAGGGAGCATCCCATTACCAGCAAGGTCAGCAGTTCAAAACCACCAGCTGCGTTTTGGGGAGAAAGATGGGGCTTTCTACTCCCATAAAGAGTGACAGTCTCAGAAATGCATGGGAAACATTCTACCCTGCCCTATGGGGTCACTAGGAGTTACCATCGACAGCATGGCAGTGAGTTTGAGTTTGTTTGGTCTCATGACCACACGTTTTATGAGCTGAACTCTCCCGGTTGCAGCACTGTCTTCCTGTGAACCAGTGATTTTGTGGGGTTGGTACAGGATTGTGCATTTTGTAGGAGGGGTTCAGCATATCTTCAGAAAGCCCAAGATTCCATTTTGCCCAGAGGTTTACAAGAAATGGAGAGACAGCCTCCAAATAGGAGGACCCCTGTCCCCACCCCCTAAAGTATTTTGACTTCTGAAAGCTCCCTTCCCTCCAAACTCTTTAAGGAATACAGGCAGTGCAGAGAACAGGCAGGGGGCCGAGGGCCAAGCAAAAGGACAGGCTGCCAAGCCTGGTTTTGTGGAGCCCTCTTAGGCACACACCTTACGGGGCCAACTCTTCCTGCTGGCGTAAGGTGAGCACCTCCCTGGGGCTCCTTACTCAACGGGGCGCTCTACCCCAGCCAGAGAGAGGACCCAGCCACAGGAAACCGGTGCAAGAAAGAAAACAGGCATGGCCACAATGCCAACTGTATATACACGCTCACTCTGTGCCTGCCGCTGTTCTCAGCACTGTACAGCTGTGGACCATGGGCTCATTTCGTTCTAAGAGCAGCCCTGCCCAGGAGGACTATGATTCTCATTTTATGCGTCCAGAAATGGCAGCACAGAGAGATTCGGCACTTTGCCCAGCTATTAAGAAGCCTCACTTATGTCGGTACCTGGGTATTTGTATCTACAGCCTGAGAGTCTGGACATGCCGCTTGCTTTATGCCTCGTCAGCTTCTGCTCTGCACATCAGGCACAGGCACGGATGGGCATCCCTGTGGTCCTCCTGGCATGAGTATCCCTGAGCCCCTACATGCCTGGGAAGGAAACCGGTGGGCCTCTGGGGCTTCCTCCTGAGATCTGAAGTTTCCCCCCATACACCCCATCCTAGCAGGGATTCAGGTGTAAATTCTGTAGCTCCATCCCCCACTTGCAAAGCACAATGCAAAGCAAAATGCCAATGCCTTGGGTTAAAGGCAGAGCCGACTTCCAGTGGAAATGGAAGCACAGATCAAGAGGTGCCTCTCATGTAGGCAGAGTCCAGTACCAGCTGGCCCATCCTAATCCCCCATACAAACTCACACGACCACACACACACACACACACACACACACACACACACCAGCACCTCTGCTCCTCAGGGCCTCACCACTTTGCAGTTAAAATGCTAATACCCTGGAAGTAGTTTTCAGCTTAAGTGATTACTCAGAAGAGTGAGCTAGGCTGCTTGCGGGTGAGGGGGTGGGGAATTGAAATCTGTGAGGGGCAGCTGTAGCAGGGCAGTTGGGTAGGGTGCACAATGACCGCATCCAAGAGGAGAGGGGGACAGCGCCTCTTTTTCTGGGATTCCTGCTCCGGCCCTGTCTCCTACTTGATCCAGTCTGAGGGCCCAGGCTGGACACCTCCAAAGAACCCCGCTTTGGAGGGAGAAGTCTTGGCAGGAGTCTTGGATGTGAAGGTGGATGCACTGTCTGCGCAGGGTAGAACCAGCTTGCTTTCTGCTGTGTCTCTCTGCCACTCTGTCAACCTCTGTGCCCGACAGCATAATCAGAGATCTTGGAGGCCACACATATAGGCCAAGAGGGGAAGGGTGCCATTAGCCTAAGAAGAATTGGAGTAGACTTTTCTTAGGGGGAAAAAAAAAAACTTTGCTTAACAAAAGCCGGAAAATCAGAAGAGAAAAAGAAAAAGCCACCGGTTGGCAAGGTGCATAGGTATGGCCTTTGTCAGAATGGAAGGGGGAAGGTGGTATTTAGAGAAGAGGTTAGGACATTTTTTCCTGGTGTACTGGGAACCTGTCTAACCACTCCATTATCAGCTGGGAGACCCCTTTATCTCCGAAGCATCAGGGTAAATAAACGGCTTTTACAGACTCAGCCTGGCATCAGCCCCGTGCCCAGGTACCTGGCAACAGAACAAATCCATCTCAATATGGACCGCAAAAGCCAAACCCATTGCTTTTAAGTGGATGCTGGCTCATGGTGACCCTGTGGGACAGAGTAGAATTGCCCCATAGGGTTTCTGAGGCTGCGGTCTTTATGGGAGCAGGTTGCCACATCTTTCTCTCGAGAAATGGCTGCTAGGTTCCAACTGATAACCTTCCCATGAGCCTTTTGTGCTCCTCAGAGTTGCCGGTAAGATTAAAAAAAAAAAATCTAACCTACTGCTTTCAGATTGATATCGACTCCTAGTGGCCCTACAGGACAGGGTAGGACTGCTCTATACGGTTTCTGAGACTGTAATTCTTTATGGGACAGAGAACCTCATCTTTCTCCCAAGGAAGGGCTGTTGAGGTCCGAACCACCAACTCTGAAATTAGCAGCCCAATGTTTTAACCCACTGCCCCTCCAGGCTCCTTCAGCGTTACCCTATGCCCCAGCTATGCCACCCAAGAGACCTAAAACTTGCACACAATCCACAAACTCGCACACAAACATTCCTAGCCGCATTATTTCTCATAGCCGCTCCTCCCCCACCCCCCCAAAAAAGAAGAAGAGACTAGCCCAAATGTCCATCAGCAGATGCATAGGGGCAGCAAAGTGGGACACAGCCATACAGAAGGAGGCTTAACGTGCTGCTACATGCGACCACACGGATGGACTTGAGCGCAGGCCACGTGAAAGATGCCGCAAAAGGCCACATCGCGTCCCATTCCATTTGTAGGCTGTGCTGAGAAGAGTCAATCCACAGACCCAGAAAGGAGGTCAGAGGTTGCGTGGGGCTGGCAGGGGAGTGGGAGGATAACGGGGACTGACAGCCAGTGAGAGCAGGGCCACAAGTACTGATCGAATGGGTTTGCACAGAGACACAGCCTACGCTTTCTCCGGCATTCTGTATCTGACTAAAGCATATCTTTTAAAGAAGTATTTGGAGAACGATACAAATTCAGAGCCAGTGTGAAAGAACACCAAGTGCTGAAGTCAACAAAAGATGCCCAAAGAACCGTCAGGGGCTACGCCGAGTGAGAATTCCCCATCGTTCAAAATCCACTGCCGTCAAGGCAATGCCGACTCAGACAACCGCCCCTGGGAGTTCTCCAGACCTTAAATCTTTATAGGAGCAGGTCTAGCCAGCCCCTGGGTTGTAACTGAGCAAGCCCCTCCTCCTATCCCAGCAGCTCAAGGGCAGCAAAAACAAGGCCAGGCCAAGGGGATCAAAGTTGTCTGAACCCTGGAGCTGAGAGAGGTCAGCATGTGCTCCAGGCTACGTGGCAAGCTGGCTGGGCAGGCAACTCCAGGCAGAGCCACA